GAATGACAGAAATATTTTTCATGCTTCAAGTGACTTTGGATGGCTGAATGCAAATTAACTCCTTATCCTTCGCACACGATCTCACATCCATTGGCACAAAATGGTGAGAATGTCTCCAATTCCTTGTCTTCCAACGGGGAGGGAGAAAGAGGGAAAAATTCCTGAGACACCCCGAAGCGAAAGCGATATTCCCAAAGGGCAAAAGCAACACTGGCGAATTGAAAAGAATGTCACTTTTTTCCCTCTCTCTCTTCTAATTCAATCCACTTCTCACATCCAATCTTTTCAGCTCATGGAAAATTGAAAGTTGCATGAGTTCCTGTCATATTCACACTGAAATGTGCAAATTGCTAAAATGTGCATAGCTAAGCTGCGAGTTAGAAATTACTTTTTCACACTTAAAGCATCGCGTCAAGTTCATTAGCTGATGGTGAACTATTTAGTGCTTTACTTGGCACAATCCACTTTATTCTGGCAGAGGAAATGTCGCAGAGCTCTCTCAACTGTATTTATCTTTAATTATTTCGTCGGAATTTTTGGGAGTGGGTGTGCTTTTACGGGCGTAAGAGGCGACGAGCAAGGTCAGAACATCAGCAACACCTGGCGTCTCCACTGCCAGCAGTGGAGGCGCCGGGTGGCTATCGGCTGGAGCGCTTCTGGAGCTCAACATGACCGGTCATTCACGCTCTCAGTCACCCCAGGAAGTCCTCCGAGCGTTGCCCAAGCACAAATTCCCACTCAAGCGTGTGAGTGACTTTCTGCATTGACTTGCACGATGATTGATGAGGAAAATGGCCGGTAATTCCTTGCGTGAGCGCAGAATTTATGTCTAAGAAAATAAATTCATAATTCTATTTACACAATCCGTCGAGACGACGCACTGCAAATTATTTCATTACACTCCAATGAGCGGCATTTCCTGTCTGCAAGAGTGTTTTTTTTCGCCCCTTAACAAGTCAATGCATGACAAGCAGCGCGAGGCTGTGATAGGAATAAAGTTGTATTGATGAAAATTTCTGTCTCAAGGCACAAAATGAAGTTTCTCAAGTGTACAACATCATTCAATTGGCAACATATCGATTTATGTGAGGCACTTCCATCCACGAGAAGACAAGCGAGTTCATCTTCCCTCCGATCTGCAGGAGTTCCATCTCTTGGCACTTGCAAATTTCATGAAAGTTATTTCCATTTTAATGCAGAATCTTGACTTGTGAAAATAGTGTCGGGTTCTTTTTTCTCCACCATCCTCTTCACAATCGAGTGAAACGAGACTCTTAACAATTTACGAAAGATGTTCTCAAGTTGTATCGCATAGTCTTAATGTTCTTTTTTCCTCCTGCGCTGCTATTGCAATTGCTAAAAAGCAGATGGAGAGAAAAAAAAGCGAGAGATGATTTATGAGCATTGGCAAAAAAAATACTCTCAACAAGTGATTTAATATTTAATGATTTCGGGGTATTTAAACCTCCTCTCCATGTCGAAAGTTTTTCGATTAGCATGAAAGTGCTTGCAAGAAACTTTGGTTCTTCGCAAATTAACCCGATTCCCATATTTATGCATATTTAATCCATCTGTGCTGGAGAAACATCACCACTAGAATTTTCCCCCAGTCAAAAGGAACTTCTTAAAGAAGAGCTGGAGATAATGTTTCTGTCATGATTTACAAAACATCTCCTTCTTCCTCTCACACCCCCTTCGGCCATTCTTAAGTGCCAAAAAGGAGCTTTTTTGGACGGCGCGGAAAAGCTCCCCGACATGAAAACTTTTCCCAGAAAGTTGGCTGACTTGCCATCAACTGGAATTGGAGAGACACAATTATCATGGGACATTTTTTAGAAGATCTGCGCTGCTCATTTTGGTGTGTCGAGATTACAGCCAAATTGATTTTAATTATTCTCTTTGTGAATGCGACCTCATTTAGGAATGTATCTCAAACTGTCTGGATGTGCAGAAAAATACTTTATACCACTTCATAGTATTGCAAGATTCATGTGAATTCCAAGAAGCGTCAGATAAGCTTTTATAAGGATTAGTCACTCACATAAGATTCTATATAGTAATTAAAGTTTCATCTAAGGGATAAATATGTAACCATCGCAGTAAATCATATATCGGAAGTTGGCAAATGTGAATAGGTAACCTAATTTCCATTTGATTCAATAACTGACTCAAGAATTAAAAAAAAAATCGCAATTCAGAGTCCAAAAAATCAATCAAAATGAAACACGATAAGATTCCTCGGGAAAATATAAAAATTCAATAGAATAATTGATCACAAATCGTTGACAGATCAGCGCTCAAGGGAAGCATGATGAAAGTCAGTATGTACCCTTCATGGTTTGGAGCTTTTAGAGGGCAAATTGCAAGTGACAATTTGTTAATTTAAGTCCACCGGGGAATTGGGGGAATTTGACAGGGGGGTGGTTTGATAGTGCGGAGGCGACAGAGGATGATAACAAATTGTTATCACGTCTCTGGGTTCCGCAAGTCTCATAATCATCATCATTATTGTCAAGCATTGGCAACTATTGGGACGGGTTCGCCCGATAGGGCGATATTTCGTGAAATATTTACACACTTTACAGAAACTTTTCCATTGGCGGAATGGGCGTGGGTGGGGGGTGTCTGTTATCAGTGCGGATGGGAAAAGTTTCGAATGTGGGAAACTGTGTGGAAGCACACTGGTCTAAGGGAAATGCGATACAAGGAGAGCAAACATCTTGAGGAAATCAAATTTATTGTTATTGATCTTGTGAAAAATGTACATAATCTGTGTTGAGTAACAGTTTGTCATTTTTTATATCTCACTCACGCCCCAGCAGAGAAAATGGTTTGTTCAGGGGTGGATGTGCTCTTCGTGTTTGAGCACATTTTCTACATGGGAGACCCTCAAAGAGAGTGGCATTTGCACAAATTGAAGGATTAGTCATTTGCGCAAATGGGTGGAAAAGAGTTTCTCTGGACATTCCCTTGACCATTTTCCCCCAACGCCGATAGCTTTACGGGGGCTCTTCTCCCCGGTGCCCCGAGTGAGAACTTTCCATCTGCCCGGGGGTTATTTGAATTGTGCCACACACCCTTGATAAATTGCCCTGGGGGAGACTTAAAAATTTTATTAAATTTCACAGTCCTCGATTTCACATCGTGTCTTCTTTTACGGTCCAAAATCTGTCTTATCCATGCGACTTATCATGGCGCCGCTCATGATTTTGAAGAAGGGTGGTGACGAAGAAACCCCTTTTTCATCGCCACTCTTTCTTTCAATGGATTTTGTATTTTGCCGAAACAATCTGCGCCACATCTCGAATTGCTTTACGATCCTGTCATTTTCCATCATCCACTCCTTTTTTTCTGTGTGCGAGAGGGAAATATTCCGCACTGCGAGCATTTGTCATTGGCCAAGACAAATACAATGATATTGAAAAAAAAAAAACATATTGCGGGAGAGAATAAATTCACTTCCATTTCACTTGCCATTTTATTGTCATCGTGCAGGGAAGTTTTGGGCGATGTTGGGTGGGGCGCGCCTCAAATTATACATTGGCAAGTAAATCATCCGACCCTCAAGGAGTGAATTGCTGGAATTTCGCACCCACGGAGAGAAAGTATAGCTTCTCCGGGTTGTGGAGCAAGATAAAGTACCGAAGAGTGGCACTTGGAGGTAAATTTTTGCCGGGGTTGCGGAGGGGAAATGATGGGGATGTTCAACAACAATATTGGAAAAAAGCACACCCGTCAATTTTCTATAGAGGGATTCACATAGGGCGCAATATCGCTCAAGTGGATGGTGTGAGTGTGAAGAGAGAAAAAATAAATTGCCAGATTAACCGAGCTCGATTCACAGCCATAATTCATGTGAATGGCGAAAGGAGACGCAACACATTTCGAGGGTTTTCCAGTCCGACAAACCAAACAGCCGCACAGTGAAAAAAAGAATTATGTAAAATCTCAAGCACACTCTCTCTCTCTCTCTTCAGCCAGAAAAAGAGCGAGTCTAACATTTCTCAATTTGCTGGGGATCTCCGTGGAATGCTGACCAGGGGAACGCTTCAAAGGAGAACCACATGTCTGTGGCTGGCCAAAGAGCTGAATTTTCTCAACCATTCAATTACAGCCACACTCTGTGCTTTCTTCTCCGCACCCAAAGCTTTTTGCGCAAACTTTCGATTCCCGTCGAATTTTGCACTGTACAGCAAATTGTTATTGACTTTTTTCCCCCGCACCCGGACATCATGACTAATCCACCTAATTGACTCCCAGACTGGCTTCCAGTACAACTATTAACTTCATTTTCAATTGGCAAATGTGGATGGGGGCGCTCTTCGCTCACTTTTCAGCAAAAGTTATGTAATACAGTATATTCAGCAAGAAATTAATAAAATGTGCCGAAATACAAAACACTGATAATTAGAGTCGCAACAAAAAGCGCGATGGTAATTAAAAGAACAGGAAATGTTTTTCAATTAACAAAAACAAGCACACACACAGATTTTTCGATGAGAAGAAAGCTCATCAAAAGTTTCCATTGAAGCTCTATGATGAAAAATTATTTATCAATTTTAATTATCAGTGCTTTTAAGCTCTCAAAAGAGATGCCTTCGTTAAAAGTACCATTGATTAATGACTCCACTCTCTTTCATGTGCCGCGATTTTTTTTTTACTCTCTTTCGCTCCAGTAAATTGTGGGGAAAATTGAAAAGTCCCGCGAGCTCTTGAAAAACCACTCTGGACAGCGGCCAATTTACAATTATGAATGTCACTGGTTTATGTCTACCTCTAAACACGCGCGCCGTGCCGGAAAATCGATAACGCCATCGCATATCTCATGCAATTCTGTGCGTTATCCACCAAAGTGGAACAAAAGGGCCGACGAGAGTCATGTGTAATTATTTTTAATGGGTTTTTTCCTGTACAGACTTCACCATCATCGACATTTAGATAAGCTCCTCGACAGCAGCTCGATTGCTATCTAACCATGTGTGATTTTCCCCTCTTCACAGGCACTTTGGCGACGGGATCGCGGAAATTCCTCACGGACTTCCTTCAGGAGTGGCCAACGCCCGGAACGGGGCCGTACTTTGACACATCTGTTCCCTCCAACATCACCGGACTGGTGGGCAAGACTGTTCATCTCGTGTGCAAAGTGAAGAACCTGGGAAACCGAACGGTATGTCCGCTTCATTGCTCTCTGTCTGTCAGAACAGCTCAAAAGCTCTCACACATGGTGGAATAAATTGTATGAAATTGCGACAGTTGGAATTTTTCATACCACCCAGATTCAATTTATCAACTTTGCTATAATATAAATTAACATTTGGATTTTGTACGGGATGTAGAGAAAAAATGACCCATAGAGAATTTGTGGTTTCACTCTGTTGGGATTATTTTACATTGTGAAAGGCTAAATGGTTGGAAAATAAATAAAAACCCATGCGAATATTGCTATTTTGCAGCAAAAGCTCGCTCACAATTGACCAATTTAACTCTGCAAGCTTTCACCCTTTGGGCTCATGAAATGAGTATGTGCGGCGAGAGCAAAAAATGCACATAAGGGAGACAGGGGTTGGTCCAAGGGGCATATATTAAGGTCAAAAGTGGTGTACAGCTTCACGGATGTGTTAGGAATGGAAAGCTTAGGAAAGAAAAGTTTCTTTTTGAACAAATTAGGGCATTTTCTGTATTATTTTGCCTAAACAAATCTTTTTTATAGCCTTTCTAGATTTAAATGAGATGAGGTTAAATTACCCTCAAAAATCATCAAATGTATGTTTAAGCTGAGAATATTTCTCTTTTTCTTGCGAAGAGTTGAACATATGTGTTCAAAAAAGACTTTTATTGGTTAAGAAATAGCTTTAAAGTTGATCATAACCTCAAAAATATTACTTTAAACTAGAAGAATGTCTTATCGCTTAGATATTCTCGCGATTTGTGCTTTAAAACTTTAAAATAAAAACAGAAATCAGTCTGGAGTGTTGAATATTCTGCACAGAAACTGTCAGAAGTGTCACGAAATGATGTACAGATTTAAGGCAAAATATCTCCTTCTTGAGTTAGGCAGATGAATGAGTAAGTTGAGAGTTGAAGCGACTGTCCACAGTAGCAAAGACTTGCGCTAAAATTGCCTCCTATTGATCTTGATGGGGAAAGCTAAACGATTTTGAGGGCGGCGAAGAAGAGAAACTGCTCTGGAAGTTGAACATGAAAGAGAAGGAAATTCTGCAAAATTACATTCACCCATCATGTGTGTGTGTGTGTGTGTTATAGGCTACGATTATTCTCCCATATATCCTGCGCCTCTCTTACCCGCGTGTGTATTCCTGTGGCATAGAAATTTCATTTAAATTCAGAACATACCGCTGGCAACAAACTGCCTCATGCCAGCATGCGAGAGCTCGTCAATTCTTATAATCTCCCACCCTCCACTTCATTTCACCTTTTATAGCCTTGTATCGATGAATGTTGGGGCGTACATTTAAGGGGGAGGTTTGGATGGTGGTTGAAGTTAATTTCAATTTGTCTAACGATAAATTGTAAAACAACGCACCACCAGGCGCCTCCACTGAAACCCCTCTCGGCGCGAAAATCCGGGGTGAGAGAGAGAGAGTGAACTTTTGCCCGCCACAATTCCCTGGGAGAGATAGCACAATTTAATACGTCGAATGATTGATTGCAATCTCGAAAATAACACGTTTCCACACCTTCCGTTTCGTGTATGGAATTTAACATACACCTGGAAACACACTCCGTCGATCAATGGGCGGAATGCCTGAATTTATTCCACACCCCAGAACGCCCAATTAGGCCGCGGGATGAGGCAGAGTGCATTGCCAGGTGGGAATTTCAAGACTTTGCGAAGATTTCCCTGTTCTTCAGGGCAACATGAAAAGTTGCATATCATAAACACTGGAGTCCTGATTTATGGCACAATCAACATTTAATGCCATAAATTCATCCTGGCACGCAACATTCTTCAGGTGGAGGAGCATTTTTGACTCTTCACAAAGGTATTTAGAAGCCTCTGCCAGTCGACTTTGGGGCTGTCGGGAGAATATATGGCCGGATTTAGTGGAATAATTCAACAAATATGAAGATACAAAAGGGGAACGAAAGACTCTCTTTGCCTCACCGGTGAAACAACACCTTCACAGCGCGAGACCTTCTATTTAGTTAGGTGTGAAAATTATTACGTAAAGCTTCAATTAACTCCCCTCAGAGACGCCCTTTTCCCTCTGTGTGTGTATAAAATGTGAGTAAACATGCTGGAATAATTGCAAAAGAGCCACACGACATTCTCTCTACGTATAAATTTATATTTTAAACACCATCTCGTTAGTTTATTTTATAAATTCATATCAATCAAATTGCATTAGAGCGGCGAGAAGCTCAGCAAATTGACCGAGAATTGAATTAGTTAGATCGAAAGCAGTCTCGAGCTTTTATCCTGTGGGCAGGAAATGAAAAATCCTCAAAGGAGTGTGCAATGATTGCGAGGTGAATGCGAAGAAAAAGCCGCAATTGAATAATCGCAATCTGAAAATGCTTTTCAACTGGCAAAGCGTAATGGGAAAAAGCGGGGATAAAAAGTCTCTGATGCCTTTCAAGAACTCCTGGGCGTACTTAATTGATAATGGTCACGCAATAATTGCGATTGTGAATTGCAACTGAACGGTAAACACGATGCACTCAATTTCAGGAGTGTCTGCGCGATAATTATCAGGCCCCGATGAAGAGGGATATCAGCCCACTAATTGCAGTGCCGAGCATTGTCAGTGGATGCCTCTGAGGGTGGCTGTCGAGGTGGTGTTTCAGCACTTGGCCGACGAGTGGGCGGACTTTTATTTGATCGAGAACTCGATAATGGGGCTATAAAGCCGCCCCGTGCCGGCCGTCAGACGAAACATACACTTTGAGCCCCAATTTCGTGGCTTTCTGTGGCTAATAAATGCCGGAGCTTTTTACGACTGGAGCAAGAGATGGAAAAAGAGCTTCAATATGCATGACAAATATAATTTTGCATGCGACAATTTAAGAGAGACGCGCGCTCAGATAATGGTAAAAAATTCCATTTTGTCCGCCATGCCCTTTTAATGTGCATGAATTAAGGTTAATGCTGTGTTTTTGTGTATGAATAAGAGATCACGTCAGTGCGATATGGGCGAAATTTGCCTGCAAATTGTAACAGCGCATCAAGTCCGAGCGACCACAGGCTAATGAATGTTGACGGAAGTCCCATGTTAATAAGCGAATAACATCCGCTGGCAAATTTATTTCCCGCCCTCACATCGTCGATCAGAACAGAAAGTTCTGCAAATTGATGGCACACAGTGTGATTATTCAGTGAGCAGAAAATGTTGTTTTATGACCAACAAATTCCTTTTTCCCTTGAATTGGGAGATTTGTGAGATATTTTTAGATATACAAAACCACCGAAATTTGGGCTTAACTTCGCGTGTTTATTATTCTGGTTGTTTACTTTCAGAATGTTGCAGATTAAATGAGTTCTGGGCTTTTCTCCGAAAATCTCCTGGGTTCTTTTTCCAATTTGTCCCCCGCATTGAAAAAAGGTGCGCGCTCTCAATGAATTTACTCCATTTCTGTACACCAGAAAAATTCCTCATCCCCGGAGGAGATGTTAAAAAAAACCCTTGATTATTATGTATTCATGAGTTTTGCGGTGTGGTTTTGCCGTTGTCACAACAATGATTGACACGCTGCTGAAGCCTGTCAGGCAAAAATATGTATAGAAGAGGAGGAAAAACCTGGCCACAAGTTCTCATTAAATTTTTAATTGATTTCCCCGCCAGGAATATATCCTTGGAGTGGCAGATAATCTGTGCGCGTCATGATGATTCTGAGCTGGCGAGATACTTCTAATCAAGTGCACTTCGTATCGATTGCAATGATTGTTAACTTTTCCTCTGGCGCTTCTTTTTTCCTCCATTAGAGCAACACTTTCACTTTCGCCTGAGTCATCTGCTCCTCCACACATGATTGATATGGAGCGAGACCATCTCACGCCCCAAAAGAATGGCTCCCACCCTCTCCCCAAACACCCCTGGGATTATCAATTTTCCTAAAGCGACGAAGCCTGAATGCGAGGACGTGATGTATCGCTTTGACGCGAGCGCGCGTGGGAAAAAGCTCTCAGTGCGATTTGATTGAAGTGCCGGAGACAATAATTTGCTGCTCTGGGATTTGTCACCCTGCAAATCGCACATTTATTCATGCCGCAACACAATTCACATGGTCAATTGCTGGCCAAAAATGCGTTCAGGAAAAAGCTCGCCAAAACAATCTGTAGATCATCATTTTTTATGTCCCTCAACGATGGCAGCATCTTCCCTCGAATTCCCTTTATGGGCTCAGCAACAGACTCTATCAAAATCCATGCCAAGGGGGAGATAATATGACTACCACAATTTCTATACACGATCACAGGCACTTCTAGAACTCAATTTCTTCTCCTTTTTCGGAAGTTGATAGATTTTTCCAACCCCATTAAGTATCATATCATATCATCAGATTTCATAATTATTGTGTCAGTAAATGCAAATTGTACTTCTCTTCTGACCATAATATCTCCCCCTTGTGCCACTCAGCTTCTTGTGCTCTCCCTAATTTCGTGCAGACTTCCAAATAGGATATGATGACCATGTCAAATGTTTGTGTGTGTGTTGAATGAGAGTCTTTCTGTCGAGATGACATATTCTGGCGCCCGTAGAAAAGTGTCCCTAAACTTTGCAACTTTCAAGCAAGTCGACTTTTCAATTTCTCTGTGAAAACAGCATAATGATTTAATTCCCCTTTTTGCACACAAAACAACTCAAGAACACTCCGGCCGACGAGGAAAAGTTGCGCAACATGGGAGAGATGTACAATTAGGAAAATGCTTTCAAATGAGAAAGAATCATTAATTCAATGCAAATGGAATCATTTAATTCAGCCCCGCGCGCCTTCGGGGTCTGATAAGGAGTTTTCACAGAGTTTTCTTTGGCGAATTAATCATGTGTCTTACATCCTGGGGGTGCGCGGCTGCTTAGGGTGGCTCATTGAATTTTTATACAGACACTGTGATGGGTGAGATTCTCATTCCACTCATTTTCCCACACCCTCCGAGAATGATGGAATATTTTAGACAATCATTAACTGAGATGTTGAGGCATTAAAATGGAATTATTCGCTGTGATATCTAGTGGAAATTCCACTTGTCATCCCGCCTCTTTGAAGCCGCGCACACATCTCGGGATGAGATGATGGAATATAAATCGCACATAAATCACAACTCTGATGTGGTGGAGAAAAATTTTTGCGCATATTTTTTACATGATGAATTAGGCACGATTTTGCCACCGTGCACAAAATATCCATCATTATACTGCACTTTATACTGCAAAATAAAGATCTGCGCGACCGCATTTCAAAATTGAATATGTTGATTGAGCTTTTTTTTTCCTATGTAGCATGGAGAAAAGCTCTGCCAGATTTATCTCCACTCAACTTATATGTCAATTGCGCGGCGTGATTTTGTAAAAACAGCAGCCTTGGTGCATTTCCACGTTATTCACTAATTTATTGATTTATGCACAATTCCCGTGCCATGAATTAGTAAAGCGCGATGATGGAGAGCTTTCGGTGGAGCCCCAGCTTTCAGATGCGCCACACCATGTCAATTTATCCGGTGTTTTGAATGGGAAATTTATGTATATGAATTAACTAACGCATGATGGACTAAATATTCCACTGTGCTAATGACACTCTTTTCCCCCTGGAGAGTTATCGCTAACGTGTTGCACGGTTTTAGCGATAAATAATATACCGAAGAGGCTTTGCTGCGGCCACCAAATGAAATCATTGTGTTTGAGAAAATCTGAATTCAGTTATCACCATGAAATTGCCTCAAATTCGCACTACACGATAAATTAATGACGTCTTTTACTGTCCTGTCTTTATTTTCCATTCATGCACTCCATTAAAATCTAGATAATGATAAACATTTTATTGCGCATAACTATTTTGCAATAATTCTCTCGATACTCATTGTGTTGGCTTATAGGAAAAGCCCATGAAAGTCTGGCTGAATAAATGCAAATTTTGCCAATAACAACGACCATAATCGGAAATACTGTGTTCAAGGATATCTCGTTAAAATGCGGGCAAAATGAAGAGCACGAGCGATGAAAATGTGAAAATCGCACAAACAAGGCAAGATGATGTTATTCTGCGGCTGAGCTTTCACAACTTGCCAACCGAGGAGCTTTCGAGTGGGTGAAAAAGTGGAATAATTCTTCTTTAAAACTCCATGGGTAACAAGTATATCTGCAGTGCAGTCTTGAGCAACTTTCCAACCATCAGCAATTCAAAAGCCGAAGATAAAGAAATCACAGAGATTATAAGTTCCTATTTTATTTATATAGGGCATCACTTAAAGGATTATTTCTGTGATTGTTCACTCATTCCTCTGTGCAAAGGAAAGACGATGGCGCTGAAGAAAAAGGAGCTCAACTATTTTCACTCCTCCCATCGTAGAAATGAGATTCACATGTATAAAGTTTTTGTTTACCCAAGCGCGTGTAGGAAAAATATCATGAGAAACCGCACAAAGAAGTTCTCCACTTTTTCATCATAACATATCGTCGATGTAAGTCTTGTTTAAACTTCCGGGAGACTCGGAGCTTTTGCAGAAAAGCAATTTCCTCATTTTCGAAGCGCGCGCGCGTGTGTTGGTAAACAATATAGCAAATTTTAGAGGTGGAGTTTAATAGATAAACTTGATAATGTAGTGTGTCAATATTCCTTGGGCTGACAAGGAGGGAAATCCTGCAGAAGAAACTCAACAAGTTTTCTGAGGGAAATTTCATCATAGTGTCATGTTAACGACTCCTTCAGCTCCTTTCTTCCTGCACACAGAGGATGGGGTTATCAATCAAATGAGTGGATAAGACATAATCTGTGATAAATGGCCGAAAATTTGCTAGCACGCCGTCAATGAAACTTTCCATCCCCATTTGTGTTTGTAAGTGAAAACCCCGCACTTTAATTTTCCCAAAAGTTCTCTTTGGAATAGAAATTTCTCGTCCGCCTTTGAAATATTAAAAAAAAACTCTCCTAACAATGAGAATATGATTCAAGACATGGAAAAGAAATCACCAAAACTCGTTACATTTTTATCCCATTTCGCCAACGCTCAGGCCAAATTTATACACAATTTTCGAAAAAATTATTATTATTATTCATCCGTTCAAGTTTTTCCCACCGCGCGCCAAATTCAATTGCGTCAAGTCGACGGGAAACATGAAAAGAGAAGCACAAAATTATTTCTTTTTTCTTCCTTTTGTTTAATTTAGCAACGACTTGAGGCAATTTTCTCCATAATTTTACTTCCATTTCGCCTTCAAGTCCTTTTGCTTTTCCGCACTCACCAGCAGGCAATTTTTTTTTCTTCTCTCTTCCAAAAGGGGGTGGAAAAGGCGTGTGGTGTGAGGGGGAAAAGGCCTCAAAATAAAATGTTTGTTAGTATGGTGAATTTTTGGCCTAAGTAACAATTAATTTTTCATTCGTAAATTAACATATTTTCATCCATGTTTACCCAAAAAAATTGGAGATTATCTTCTTTGGTGCGTAATTCCTCACCGGAAACAACAAATTCGGATGTCTTGTCAATGCGTAGGTTTTCCTCACGTGTCGCCAAGGAAATGACGAGAGATTTGACAATGGCAGAAATTGTTTGTTGTTGCGGAAAAAAGCTCCCAGAAGCTCCACCATTAAATATCCTTTCGCAATTGATGTCGCTGTAATTGGGTGAAATATCCCATAATAATTACCCAGCAGAGGCAGTAAATGAGAGTGAGTGTCGAAAATACACTGACTTCCCTCATAAATTCCACACTGGGGCATTTTATGATAATCTCCACTGCTTTCTTGCTCGTTTAGCCAACCCGAAAAAGCATGCAGGCAAAGCTTTAATCTCTTGGAAATTCCAAATTCCCATCCACACACGCTCTTTTTCGCCGCATTTTGGGAATTCCTTTTCTTCCCGCTTTACATCCGCTTATATCGATATTAGAAGGGCTATAGGAAAAAGGAAAACAGGGGCAAGTTACATGAATGAATTTCCTCTTCTTCTACCCCAACAGCAAAAGCCCAGACATTGCAGAGCGCAATTTGGCGTGGCTCCAATTGCATTTTCAGACACGGGATTTCAGTGGATTGCGCACAGGTCAGAATCGATTTACCCAATCTGGCCGATGGCATTAAAATTCCCCATTGAAATGGGTAAATCTTCAGATTAGAACTTTGCCAAAGCAACAATCAATTGTTTGATGTGTGATTGGCCATAAATAAATACTCCCAGTTTAGTTGGAGTTCTGGAACCATGTGCCTTCACCCAACGATTTATTCCGATGCACACACAACAATATCCAGCGACTAACATCCTATTAGTGTACTTATAATTCATATATGATGTCAGGAGCAGATTATACACACTCCACAACTTCGCACACGGCAGATTAGGCTGAACAGGAGCCGCTGTGCTGTTTCTCAAACCACATTATACTTGTTCGTAAATAAACATGAAGCACATATAAAGCCCCCAATAGAGCGCCTTCCGTGGAATTTGCGGTCAATTGCATGCGCATTTAATGGGCAATATTTGCAATAAATACGCCCGATCCTCCGCCCATGTGAGGGAGTGACTTATGAGTAATATTTGGCCACCTCATGATGTGTTTTTCTTCTTTACCCCATCAACAGGTCTCTTGGGTGAGGCACAGAGATATTCACCTGTTAACTGTCGGACGGTAAATATGGCAATTATTCACTCTTTCACGCACTGACTCACTGTCGGGCGCGTCCGCGTGTCTTCCGCAGGTACACCTACACCTCTGACCAGCGCTTCGAGGCGATGCACTCGCCACACGCCGAAGAGTGGACGCTTAGGATTAGATACGCCCAGCGCAAGGACTCGGGCATCTACGAGTGCCAGATCTCCACCACGCCGCCCATGGGGCATCCCGTGTTCCTCAACGTCGTGGGTGAGTGTCTGACTGTCCTGAGGGGCTTCTCAAATGTTACTGATATTTATGTGAATATTCTACCCTGAATACTTGATCTCCCCTTTAGAATTCTCATTGATATGTAAATACTGTGTTCATTGACGTATAATGACTAAAACCTATGTGTTTCCAATTTTTCGCACAATTCACTTCAATATACTGTATGTAAATTTAATTAATTAACACCTTTTCACACCCTTTTGACACTTGGAGAGTTCAAGCACCTCTTCAGTGGATTCAACATGATTTTTCCATTGCCAGTCAAAGGAAGAACTAGAGCATTAAATCCTCGCACGTTCGACTTTTTTTCACCTGCAATGGCACTTGAAATTTGTGATCCATAAATCCAACTAATGACGATAATTCTGCACAAAGGAAGTGCATAAATCTGCTGTTCGGGCCAAAAGTCGGATTTTTTAACGGGTGAAAGAGTGCAGCGCGGAAAAAGCTGGTAATGGCAGTTCTACTCCTCTCGCTCGTGCTTTTTCCCGCCGACTCACTATCGTGGAAATTACTTTAAATGCAAATTAAGTATTAACCCCTTGTGGCGCCGCTCCCAATGGCATTCATCACCCAAGCGTCGGGGGTTGTTTTCTGTGTCGAGCTGGAGGTAAAAACATTTCCATTTATGAATGAAATGTGGAACTGTTGATGGGCTTTGCATTATCCCCCAATGTGAAAATTCAAACCACCCCTTTCACAGTGCACACACACCCACAATCTCCCGCAAGAGTGTGGAATTTAGGTAAATTAAATGAATTTAATTATAATCAACTTATGAAGCTCTCCTGGATTCAGGGGATGCTTAGTTGCTTCAGTTTATATTAGTTATTCGCAATTTTGTGTCAGGGGTGGATTTTAATAATATACAGAAGCCCCCATTGTGGGGTGTTTAATTGAAAATTCATTGAAAAGTGCCAAATTGAATTTGTTTGTGGGCTCACACAGGATTTCATCTCGTCACCACTCTGTATTGGTGAAAATCCAACGTGGTTGCCTAGAATCATTACATTATTTGACATTCATACACTTTTCACTGTGGCGCTCGTTTAATTTACCACACATGCACTGAGCATCACAAATTAGATGGCATAACGCGTATATTAAACAAGAAAAAACGCCCTCAAGCTCTGATGTGTTATGAATTTTCGCCATCGAAAAGGTACATCGCAGATGAGCATTGAAAGCTCTCGCGAGACCTCAAATTGACTTTGTAAATTTTTAACATCCTCCCTAAGGACATTTCATCAGGAGAGTCCCTTAGAATTTGTCACGCAAAATGCCAAAATTCACCCACATTGGAAGATAAATAAAATCCACCCTCCGGTACATTATCTACACACAGAGTGTAATTGGATTGTTATTATTCACATACGTTCCACCGCCGGAACATTTTCCCCGTGACCCGATTTCGAGGGCGGGCCTCGCCAGCAAAGGTGAGACTGGGAGCCTGTGTATGGGATGTAATTTACTGGCAAGAAGTAGGTGTCTCTGGGAATTTCTGCTCCACATCCAGACTCTCCCCGCCTACGGATAGTGTCATTGCAAGTGCCCTGACGCTAGGGCGGGGGGGGGGGGGGGCAGGGAAAAAATTATGAAGATCCTGGGTAATGTAATTTTTTCTCTCTTTTCCCACGTTCTGATAACTCGTGTGTATGTGTTTGGTATGAATTTATGATATTAGTGTCATGTGGAAGACAAATATGCTGACAACATGAAGCTTTTATGTGGTCTTGCGGCTGTTTGCCAAGAGGACTCTGGATTTTCCCTCCGCCACAGTTGCCAGAAATATGCCACCTTTTGTGCATACCCACAGCACCCTCGAGCCTGTGACACTGGGGGTTGCAGGAAAAAGAAACACCCGACAGTGTACACAAGACGACCCATTGAGCAGAAAATTGCCAGAGCTGAAAGGCGACGTGCGACACACTCTTTTAGAGACAATCGTTGCAAAAACCACAACGATGGAGAGTTTTTGAGCACAGAGAAAATCCCAGAAAATCCCGAAAAGAGTTGAAAATCACAATAAATGGGCGGGGCTTGTGAGTAGGCGGAGCATGTAAAATTGAGTGTTTAAGCTTAAGCTTGCTAACGTCGAAGATGAGATAAGAAAGGGTTTTTCAGCACATTTTCTATTAAACTAAGTACAGAGTTTAATCTATTACACAAATCCCTCCATCTCGGTTGCTCATAAATAAATGGCGATGAGCACTCCAAAAAGGAAGGCGCATTGTAAAAATTTCCCGGACAATTTCACACATAAATTACTGATGTCGTCTCTCTGGTGCTCCATTGCAGAACCCATTACGGAAATTATTGGTGGGCACGACCTGTTTATCAACAAGGACTCAACGATAAATCTAACATGTGTTGTGCGTTACGCACCGGAACCGCCGCCGGCGATGATTTGGTCACACAATCGTCAGGTGAGTTTGCGAGAGAGAAGCCATCATCACACACCATCTGATCCGCATATGAATCTCTTGTGCAGGTGATAAACTTCGACTCCCCTCGCGGCGGCATTTCGCTGGTGACGGAGAAAGGGCCGCTCACCACCAGTCGTCTGCTCGTCCAGAAGGCCTCGCAGGGTGACTCGGGCCTCTACACGTGCGCCCCATCCAATGCCAATCCGTCGTCAGTTCGCGTCCACATTCTCAATGGTAAGTCGGATGGGTTTGCAGTGAATTGCAGCCACATTGGCAGCACTCACTTTAATGCAGATTTTCACGCAAAATCGCCATTTTATTGTGGCTTTTGCCAAACATTTCGCAGTCCATTACCAGCCACACACACCAGATCAACACTATTTCCACGCGGAAAATGCGCGTATTTGATGGACATCAACTATGAAATAGAATTTGTTGCAGCCAACAAAGGGGACAACATCTTGCGAATAATTCTTCTTTCGAAGCTCCGCCCCCTTGAATGCCACGCCTTTCATGCATCCTCTCAATTAAAAATTCAGCGTTTTGTTGCAATTTTGTTAATGACAAATTTAGTAAAGTGCACGGAAGTATTAATAGTGCACTGAGCATTGCGAGCTGTCTCTCCCTTGTTGGCCAGCGGAGTTGTGTACATGGCGCGGCTTCCTGTCTCGCGGTATCTACTAGTTTCTGTCCACTGCTTTCAGGAGAACATCCAGCCGCTATGCATCACGGTGTGTCGATGAAGCTGCGCGGTCCAGACGCCGCCACCTTACTCCTCGTGGCGGTCTTCTTCACGAGCATCCGGTGGAAATGGGACTGCTGGCGGCACTCGCAGCCCATATAGCTACCGTCTCTCCAGGTGGCGGAATGCTAATGGCACGGTCGGATGGTGGAAAGCTCCGAATTAGCATTAATGATAGACCGTCTGACACGTTTCTAAATTATTCAGAAGAGGGGCACGCTCCGGACAGAAATTCCTGACATTCTCCTAGGAATATTCGAATTTAAGCCAGATATTTGTCCAATGTATATTATATATACAGAGGCATTTAATGCCGAACCGATCGTGGGGCGATTCTCCCTCTTTTTTCACTTTGTTTTGGGGGCGTGGAAAAAGGCATATAATCCTATTAAGGGGCGGAAAGCTCCCAAGCTCACCCAAATGCATACAATACAGCAAAAGACAGAGAGAGAGAGAGAGAGAGAGAGTGTGGTAAATTAGAGCTGAGTAAGGTTGCAAGGAAGACAATTTACATAATTTATTTTTAGACACCATTTCATGAACTCAATGTGTCTCTGGGCGTTACACAGGTTTACAAGTTGTGTCAACAGAAAATGACTAAGCGTGCAAAAGCTCTCTGTCCGTTCCTTCTGAATCAGTTGCTTTCCACCCTCCCCCCCCCCCCCAAAAGGGAAGGAGTGGAACAGAAAAATCAAATAAACAGGACACATGTGGTGTAAATGCAAAGTTTGATAAACCACGAGAATTCACAAGTTTTCCACCGCCCGTAAACTTGAGAGTGTGAAAGTTCTTATGGGTGAAAGCTTGAAAACTCCACAAAGTCCCTCTTGACCAAATCTCACACCTTTCCACACTCGCCAGTCGCATTGAATTTATCACTTGCAAGTTAAATTCCTCCACCCTCTGCCGTCACTCCTTTTGTGTCGCCCCAGATGAGAGTGTCGTGCACCATGAAAACTAATTGTCCCCGTGGGGATTTTTCTCACACTCATTTTTCTCCACCCCCTGGTGGTTGAAAATGGGGTGAAAATTTTGCATTGCAGCAAATGAAGCAACCTCTTGCGACAGTTTAAGAAAGAAATTGGGGCTCATTCGATGGAAAGAGAGTGGCAAAAGTCAGCGAAAAGAATTGTGCGAAGCTCCCCAAAAAAATGTCTCCCCAGCAAAAGAGAAGGGAAAGTCACCCCTCGTCATTTTCACCTCCAAAGCGGGGGTGAAGCGACATTAAATGAAATTTTATTTGTCATTTTGGAGTGTGAAAGAAAGAGAAAGTCAAAATGATAATTGAAGATAAAAGAGTGGCGAAAGGAAGCGCTTCGCCTAAAGAGGCGCAACAAACACAAGAGTCATTTTTGTGATAATTCCATTGAAAATCGTGTGACTTTTGGCGGGAAGGCGAGGCCTTCCACCTTGTCGCACAGGAACAATTTCCAATGGAAATATCAGACGCTCTCGGAAGGGTGACACTCACACACCCTTCCTCCCAAAGCATTGAATATACCGCAGAAAAGTTGTACATAAGAATGCTGGATTCATGAAATATTGTAACATGACTTCTCCGGAAGGAGAGGAAGACACTCAAGCGAGATATTGACATTGAGAGAAATCATGTATAAAAAAAGATGAAGTCTAATTTAAAAGGATAGATTTATGTAATTTCAGAAGATGAGAAAAAAATACTGTATAGAAGAGTATTCAATTGTTTCTATAAATGAGGACAAATTGACATTTTCCATTAACTACCATAGAGAAAATGATTAAATATATAAGGAATAAATATGATGTGAGAGGATGTTGATCTTTGAAAGAAAAATTTGCGACACATTTAACAGAGATACTTTAAGCATTTTGTTATACAAATCGTCAGATTTACCAAAGATGAAATATAGTTGTTACTTGATTTACGAATGTGAGCCATTGACAGACAGGATTACAGACATCATGAAATCAAGACGAAAAGAGAGAGAAAATTTTATCCTGAGTTGAATGTCGAAGAACGAAACAGATTATTTTCGATGAATAAAGACTCCTTCAAGAGATGATATTGAAACAAATCAATATTTTTGTTCATCCCAATGTTGCTCCACAGGCGGCGTGAGACTGAATTTATGTTGCCCTCGAGGATAAGAAGTTGGCATGTGAGATCTCTCAAGTAGAAAATCACAATGGGGAGAGAATGTTGGGCGGCGGTGAATGTTTATAAATCACAGAAAGTGACCTCATCGCACAATAAATCCCAACGCAATCGATCTTTTACTTCCCGGCATTCCCATATTCGCCCCATCACGTGCATTGGAATTAATAAATTGATGATTTACAGCAATTAAACTTCCATTTCAGCGGAGAATAGCCCCGATATTTTGTGGCTATACACACGATTTATGGCCACTAAATCAGACACTTTGAAATCTTTGGAGGAACAAGAAAAATATGGTGATTAAATTTAATAAAAAAAAACCTTTCCGAATTGATGGCATTCATTCAACCTCAAGACTGGATGATGTGAATCACTAATTTTCACGCTACATTAACACCCGGTTTTGCACACTTTTAAAGCCATTCAGCGACTGCTGTAGCTGACTGAAGTGGTTGCCCGAAATGCAATTGGCCATTTCGTCACCACAGCGTGAATATATATGCCAGAAGCTTTAAAGCTCTCGCATGAATTGTAAATAGGGAGTGAATGCGGAATATCGTTATTGCATTTAGCACGAAACGTTGAGAGTTCGATGGTTAAATTTGAATGGCTGCGGCTCTGCCTCGGTTTTTGCAGCTCGAGGGCCGCTGAACTTTGCAGCACACACACTTAACATTCCCCGAATTGACGCGCTGGGCGAATGCGTTGACGATGGAGCCCCGGAGCCAAGCATTGGTGATTAGGAGCCAGTGTAACAATGGACGCGCCTTGGCGCAATTCGATGGTGATTCAATTAGTTGCACTTTTGAGTACGCGACAACTTGCTGATTGCCTAATTGTTGCAACTCTTTGTGCGCGCGCTCAATTGAATTTGTCTCTCTGGATGGTTGTGCGACAATTAAAATACATCCGCGCGCGCCTCAAGGGTTTTTCCCGAGCTTTTCGACTTTCAGCACACAATTCGGGCGGGGGGGGGTGGAAATAGAGAGACACAAAATGGGGTGAAGAGAGGTGCTTTTAATCAGCTGAAGAGGGAAAACAAGAAAGAACAACATTTGGCGATGAAATATTCAGAAATGGATCCTCTCATGATGAAAATACTCACCTAGCTTCAGTGTGGAAAACTTTCCACTTTCATTCGCAACATAGGCCGAGAATTGCCTGAATCTTTAACTGCCGAAGCAGAAGAATCGATGAATAAGTTATTCGTTGGATAAACACTTTCGGTGGGACGCTGGCAGAGAAGCCACTTGCCGGCCTCTTAGATGAAATATTGAGCACGTCGAAAGTGCTGCGAAGGGACAAATGCTGCCTCAAGAGTGAAAATCCGACACTCGTTGCCATTTCATTTTGCATGAACCGCCCTGCAATCAAGGGTGAAACAGTGACAGTATTTGTACATCATGCTGCATGTACAACGGTAAGTCGTCTAAGCTAGATATTAATCAATTGCAAAATAAACAAATTGAATATTTTCAGCAAGTTATTTTAATATATTAAATTATTATTATTTAATATTTAATAACGATAAAAAAGAGCGCAGCGGAACTTCTATATGCATTTAAACTTTAAACTGCTGCTCTCTGGCGGAAATATGTGGAGAAAAAAAATCAAATATTCCAATATATTTAAATTTTGAATAAATTTTTAGAAGATGAACAAAAATTCATACAATAATGAAATATTTACATATTTTTTGGCATAAGCAAGAAAATGATTGAATAATCATAAAGATAATGGTTAGAAATTGCAAGTGAAGTCTGAAAGCTCCTGAAAAGCTTGAATTTCAGAGCCTGAGAACTGATTTTATTGATGATGTCCAGATTTTACGAAATATTGCACACCATTTCTCACCACAATGTCTCTGCCTTGCTGCAGTCAGGGAGTTTTCTGTTTGTGGAAATCATGGCACAATTGAGTGTGGCGCACGGTGAGCTTTTTCCATTCTCATGCATACATTTTCCACATAAGAATTTCGGGGCCAAGTTATGGTCGAGGAGACACGCTCGAGGCGCCCTTCTTCGACCCAAAACACCCCCAACTATTCGGCGCCAATAATTCAATAATGGAAAGATGCCAGGTGTTTGGGCAACATAAGCCAAAAGTCAAAGTTGGACCATTTGTAACCAAGGGAAGGTCTCAGCGCGGGGTGGAGAAGTTTACCTTTAAAATTTTCGACCCCCGAAGAAGAGAAAATAACTATTTATTCTCCATTGGCCAAATGGCATTTTGCAGGGTGGATAAAAAATCACTTTTGATACACCCAAATCACAAATAAACATGTGTTTTCTTCCACCCTAAACGAAACACAGTTGCGGAAATGGCAAACTTTCTTCCATCCCCCAAGAATTTGTCTCACATAAATTAAAGAGACCTGTTTTGTTTTGATTGTAAACTTCATTTCGTCCTTTCTATTTGTACAAGATGTAAAGCCCAGGGAGGAATTGAATTTTTCCCTATTTCTCATGATTGAAGCAGGACTTTCTAATCCTTCCACTCATTAAACTTTCCTTCTAAAGACCTCTTAAATTGCGCTCCTCGTCAATTTTCTCCCAGAGATGCTTCTTCCCCGGAAATCTCTTTTCCATATAAGTCGTCGAAGAAAAATTTAAAAAAAAAATCTCCGAGAGTTTTTGACAAACTTTTAATTAGATCAAGTTTGTCTCTCCTTCAAGTGTATTTGCTTCTCTATTAATTATCCTATTTGAGCGGATTTTTCACTTTCACGTTTGGAGAAGTTGAAGCGAAGCTTTTGCCCAGTGACACGTGTAAACAATTCTCAGTAAATTCAGCAGGACACTCTTTCTCCCCCTCTCTCCTTCTCTCTTGCTTGATTTTCCCGGGGCAAAAGGAAAAAAAATGTGCCAATGCGAAGGGAGAAACTTTGGCAAGATAAATTTTTCAGGAGTAAATCCGTAAATGAGCTTCGAAGGTCCGTCGCGCAATCACAATTGGAATCCTTTGAACAGTTTGAACCAAGGTTTGAACATGATCCTTATCTGAGGGACTTCCAAAACCCTGGGCTTTTCATGCACTTTGGCGAGGGATGAAAGTTTAAATTGTCCGACATGTGAAGAGGGTGTGTGTCTTTGGCCAGAACGACGTTGTGCTGAGCAAGGAGAAAAGCCCTGGGAAAATATTCACACACACACACACAAACACAGGCCAAACAGTGAATCAGCAGAAAATGAGAACAAAATATTGAATGCATAAAATATTTACTTTGAGCGCCCAACTGATAAAATGCCACCCTCATTGTTTCCAGCGCCGGAGAATCGCGCTCTTCCATCGTTGGACGCAATAATTAATAAAATGCCATTCCGACCAGCAAAAACTCAATATTAAACAACATCACGACATACATAAACTCATGCATGGGGGCGTATTTTCCCAAAGCAGTAAATATGATGGAATTTGTTTATGATTTTTCCAGCACAGATACAAATTATATGCATGTTAAAATTCCCAATTTGCCACACATTCGCGGATGAAATGAAGCATCGCGCCATGACCACCATTGAAAGCGCTGCATTTAATGGCAATGAAATTTAAATCAATCCACTGTTGTGCCCATTGTAAAGCTCGCAATTTCCACACCAACATTTGAGCTCATGTTGTGAAAACAATTGCAAAACATTGAGCTTAATGAAGCATAATTTACATTTAATTAACCACACACGGAAGAGCTGTAATAATTCTAATATTCCAAAATTGTTTTGTGCATACGCGATTGGTTTATGTGTCATATTGAATGTGATCTCGCCAAAGTATTGAACTTCACAGTTGACATAACCTTTTGTAGTTTGATACTTAATGAGCTTTTGCGCACTCGAAATTGTATTCCAACAACTGTTGAGTTGCTTTGTGGAATTTCACGCATATTTTTTCCCACCCCCCAGATTAAATTACACTCTATTTATTGGAAAATATTTCAAATTTACAACAATATTCCAAAGTAATTCGAGAATTGCATGACTCTCTTATAGTGATGATTTCGAGGGGGTGAAAAGCTCCACGAACAATTGTGCTGGATTGTGCTCTGAAATCAGCCAGAAGTGCTGCATAAATAAGAGAATAGAATTTTAATCTTTGAAAGAATGGCGCGCGTGTTAGTCGATGTTTGAAGACAATTTCCTCAAATATGCACAAAGGTAATTTCTGCTGCTTTTTTCCACACACTTCGCGCGCCCCTTCGCGCCCCAGCGCGATGGAATATTGGCTTGAGAGTGAGAATTCCACTCCGCATTCAATTGTAATGCCATTCTTCGGCGCTCTCGAGTGTTAAGGGGGAATTTTCAATTATGAATTATATAGCAAATACGCCCTGAATGGTTGCATTTAAAGCATTCATGAGACTCTCGTGAGACTCTCGCTCGCAGTAATTTATAGCCAATTGTGTTACATTTCACACTGAAGTGTTGATTCGGAAATATCTCCCCGCGACTCCAGACTTTTATTAGTCCACCCCCACATATTCATGAATTGAAAAGCTCCAACTTTTCCCATTACATTCACTTTTTTCACTCTCAATTCAATAATATTGAGGCAATATTTCGCAATACAAGCGGCGGCCCAGTGAAAGAGTGTCAATTAAGTTAGGGGTTTTTGCAATTGAAAGGAAAAAGTTTAATAACACTTGAAGCCATTTCAATGCATTCACCCCCAGTCTTCCGTGGAGGGTGAAATGATCGGAGCTCGAAGTGGTCAATAAAGAGGCAATACGAGAAGTCTTCGGGAAGTCGTCTATTAGAGCAAAACCCGGAGTATCCTTGTAATTGGCTATGTAAAAGAGCGAATTTGGTCATTACATAAAATCAGATGAGAGAAGATAAGGGCATGGCTTTTTGCCTGGACTCCCAGTGACTTCCGCCAATAAATTCAGCAAATAATTGAATGTGTATTTTATC